CTAAACGTGCCGAACTAAGAGAAAAAAACAGTAATATTCAGCTATTTGATAACTTAACTCCTGCAAATAAGAAGCTCCTTTGGATGGCAAGGACTAGAGCCACCGAGATGAACTATCGATTCACTTGGTCTTCACAGGGAAAGATTTTTGTCAGAAAGAATTCAGAAGCACGCGCAATCCGAATTGCATCTGAAGATGATCTAAACAAGATTGTTTAAACACTTACTGTACCTATCGCCTTTTATGGCTTTTTTCTGTTTTGATGATCAAGTCGATGCATTACAATACTGTCTCTTTCAAGAATTTGATTAAGGACTCGAACTTTCTTTCTGAACGTGGTCTTTCCCTTTATCATATTAATGCACAGAGTATGAGGAACAAGGGTGAGGAAATTGAAAGCGAATTAGTACACCTCAACTATGACTTTGATATCATGGGCTTCTCGGAGACATGGTTTTCTTCACAGTCAGACGTGGTCAGTTTGGGAAATTACAATATGGAATCAGTATTCAGAACTGGAAAACGCGGTGGCGGTGTATCCTTGTATATCAAACAAAATTTGCCCTATGAGGCGTGGCCCGACTATTGTGTTGTGTGTAGTGATTTCGAAGCAGTTACTGTGATACACAACAAGGTTGTAATAGTACTGATCTACCGCCCCCCGAATGGTAATACTGACTCACTTCTTGAGTTTTTAGAGAAGCTTCAACATCATGCTAATTCTAATCTATGGTTCGTGATATCATTTGGTGATTTTAATATAGATATATCAAAAGATGGTCCTATTAAGCTAAAACTAATGGAGTTAATGTTGTCTCATGGCTGCGAAAACATCATTAGCACTCCTACCAGAATAACAAGCACATCAGAAACGATCATTGATCTCTGTTTCACTAATTTATCCCCTGACAGTGCATTAGCCGGAGTATTCAGCTCTGGTATAAGTGACCACTTACCTTTTTTTGCACTATTAACAATGCCAGAACTGCAGAATTCTCCAAAATACATGCGTAGAGATATAAACGATCCAAATATTCTCCGTTTTCGCTCTCTAATGTTTAACTGCAATTGGGATGACCTGTACCGAGAACCTGATCCGTATAAGGCATACAACCTGTTTATGTCAAAAATGGTTAGTAACTACAATACTGCTTTTCCGTACGTTGTTGTAAAGAAACACAAGAGAGCAAGAAAGGAGTGGATTACGCCGGCACTTCTTAAGCGGATAAATGAAAAAAACAAACTTTTCCAGCACTTTTTGAAAACAAAAGAACAAACTGACCTCATTGAGTTTAAAAATTTTAGAAACAAAGTAAACAAAGACCTCAAGAAGGCGAAAATAGATTTCTATGCCTACAAGTTTTCTACAGTGATTAACAACTCAAAAATGGTTTGGAGCTCGGTTAATAAATTGATAGGAAGAAAACAAGCCACTGTCCCTAGCTATATACAGATAAACGATATTCACTTCAGTGGCAAGGCACTGGCAGACAAATTTAACCTTCATTTCCTTGAGGCAGGATCCTCAAGTAATATAACACAAGCGACTGACCTTAAACCGGCTGAATGCTATATTGAAAGCTCTTCCACTAATTCTTTGTTTTTATTACCCGTTACCGAGGAGGAAGTAGCCACTGTCATATGCTCACTAAAGAACAGCTCACCAGGAGAAGATGGCATTTCCGCAGCACCTATCAAGGCAGTTGCTGATTTGATTGTCGCCCCATTCACTTACATATGCAACAGACTCTTCTTGACGGGAATTTTTCCATGTGCCATGAAAATAGCTCGCGTAACAATAATTTTTAAAGGAGGTGATAAAAATGAACTTCAAAATTATCGCCCAATCTCTATTCTGCCGCTTTTCTCTAAGGTCGCGGAACGCCTGATATATAAGAGGGTATTTTCTTTTATAGCAAACAGAAATGTCATTTGTGAAGAACAGTGTGGATTCCAACCAGGTAGATCAACTCAGTCTGCTTTACTCCGTATTAAGGACAGCCTACTTCATAACTTTGAAAAAAAATTTTACACTGTGGGAATATTTCTCGATTTCCGTAAGGCTTTTGACTCGATAAAGCACGATATATTAATTAGGAAACTTCAACTGTATGGAATACGCGGGATTGCGCTTGATCTAATGAAAAGCTATCTTTGGGCCAGGAAACAATATGTACAGCTCCACAATTATAAATCTGATTTGGGCGTAATTAAGTATGGGGTTCCCCAAGGATCGATACTTGGTCCTCTACTTTTTATACTTTATATCAATGACATAGTTAACATTCAGTTCACACCAAACATAGTCATGTACGCCGACGATACCAATGCCTTCTTTTCTGGTTTAGATCTTCGCGATATTGAAATAACTGCAAATTCTTGGTTGGATAAACTAAAATCATGGCTTACAGTCAATCAGCTAGAACTAAACATAAAAAAAACTAAATTTATGCTCTTCAAACAAAAAAATAGGCCTGTAGATTATGCTATCTCTCTGATTTTTAATGGAGAAAATATTGCACAGGTAAATAAAATTCAGTTTCTGGGTGTGTGTTTTCAAAGTGACCTTAGTTGGTCCCACCATGTGGACAACCTGCGAATAAAAATATCAAGATCGATCGGTCTAATTCGACGCTTACAGCATCTCCTTCCAGGGAGAGTCAAACGGCAGCTTTACTTTTCTTTTATCTACTCGCAAATCATTTATTGCATTTTAGTCTGGGGTACGTGTAACAAAACAAATACAGAAAGTATAATTCTTCTTCAAAAACGCGCACTAGGTTTGATAAGTACCTCGGTCCCCACTAATATGTCTCTTTTTTATATGTATAATGTACTCCCGTTCCCAGAGTGCTATAGGATGCAACTAGCCATGTTAATCTTCAAAAAAATTAAAGATAATTTCCAGATTTTTTCTGATGTGTACTTAAGCATAGATCTTACGTATAATCTGCGTACTGTTGCGTTGGTCGGGCCAATGTGCCGGACTAACTATGGTGTACAGTCAATTAATAACCAAATCATTCTACTGTGCAACAGGATTCCTGAAATAATTGAATACGCTAAGGAGGCTAAAAACATAACACAATTTAAGAAGCGAATTTACAATGTAATAAACAGAACACAAGTCTACAGTGTATGTAAAGGAAATATGTAATGTATGTAATATTTATAGTATTCACTGTTTTTCAACTTGTATTGTATTTCAAAATATGTTATGGTGTTTTGTACTGTCCTGCTCTACCTGCCCGAGGTGCCTCACGAAGAGGGGCCAAGTCAGGAGACACACTCTCCTTTTGCCCCCTTCGTGGGCATTTCTGCGGAAATGTCCGAATAAAATAAATGAAAAAATGAAATGAAAAGATCAGCTGTATATAGACGTTTCCATTCAAAGTTAGGGTAGACGGGAAGCAAATATAAACGCATGATTAGCTCAACCACTTCTTTTTTTTTTTTTTTGGTGTCGAATCTACACCATAAGCATGGTGCTGCCATTCGTAGGTTAAAATTAATAGAAAAATTCAGAGATGGAATGCATTATACATAATGTCTATCAGCTTATGGACAATATCTCATGCTTCATTGTCTGAAGCAGTATTCCAGCACGTACGGAATGGTCCCATTTGAAAAATTGGAGGAAAGCTGAATAACGGGTTCCTGTAATTTGCCTATGTTATTTACCAATGTTTGGTCCTAAATGTGTGATTCAATGTATTCTTGTTCACGCTACGCTGAGTGCGTCAGGAAGGATATGACTATGTCGCACGTTCTTGCTCTCCCTTAAGCCCTGGAGCCCTTGAACAGTTGGCTCTTGAAATAAATCTTGCACCTGAACCATCATGATTTCTTGCTCCAGCATAGCAGGATTAGCGTGTTGCAGTCGTGGACACAAATCGGCATCATTCGAGGCAGCTCTCGTTCTAATGTATGCGTTCTAAATTCTGGTCGCTAAAGGGATCAGTGAAAAAAAAAAAATGGCAGCATATCCACGGGGTGAATGATGGAGAGTGGGGCGAAGCATCCGTCCGTCCATGCTTCCGTCTGTGTGACCTTCCGCACGTACATCCGTGCGTCCTTCCCTGCGTTTGTCCATGCATCCGCCCCTGCGTCCGTCCATGCGTCCATCCGTCCATGCGTCCATCCGTGCGTCCGTCCATGCATCTGTCTGTGTGTCCGTTCGTCCATCTAGTCAACACTCCAAGTACCACCATCTCGCATCTTTTTATCATATATTGCGCATATAGAAGCACCGCCATCCAGCGGACATTCCAAGGACTAAACGAGTGGTGGCACACGCACACTTTCTTACAGCTTGCGCTTCGTGTCTACTTCCCACCTTTAACCACCTCGACTTCATGATATATACTAGTGCACTGTATTCATGGCACTGCGGACCAACGCTCGCTAAACTTTTTTAAAACCAAGGAGGTTACGCCCAGCGAGTATAACGTAGCAACCCTTTCTTGTCAGGTAGTGCTCAATGTGCATGTCAATGGCTGCTAATGGGGAATGCGAGACAGTATAATTCCGCTTTTAGTTAACGCGCACGCTGCCAATTTTTTATTGTTCAACAACGCACAGTAGAAATCTCCCACCGGCAACACCTTGCAGATCAAAGCGTAAGACATGTTACGTACTACTACCAGGGACGAACGGGTGCCGATTTAAGGAGCTTCGCCCCTAAAATAACGGTATTCGCAAATTACAGTTTCACACATTGCCTAACGACGTTATAGTCGATGCGGCAGTTACTTGCCGATGATGTCCGCCAACGAACAAGATTTCCAGATTTGTTCGCTCTAGCTGAAAGCGACGGGACAATCTTCAAATGTAGTCTCCTCCGCACTACTTTTATCAGTATATTTATAGCCCTGCCATATTTTATTCTTCCTCCTACGTCGTATTTTCATTAAATGAATGCAATGATTTACAAAACACTTTTCACGTTCGTAAGTTGAAAATAGCCGCATATACTCAGTGTGCTGTTCCTCCTTTTGTAGGTATGGCTACTGACCTTCTGTTGCTTTGTGATGTCTGCAATCATGTGGTATATCAGTGACTACGTTCACTTCCGACTCAACGCCCAGGATGGGTCATTCGACCACGCAGGAAACTTCTTCGGGCGCCTGTGGGTTTTCGTGGAGAACACATTGCTGGAAGGTGGGAAGGCTTACGACAAGCATTTTATCCTATACCCCTCTGATTTCTACGCACACATAAGAGAGAAAACGGGCAAGGATCAGGTATACGGTGGTTATACGAGCGTCTGCTTTTCCAGACTACATAGGAGGATAGAAAAACGGAGGATAATCTAAAGCAAAGATCATAAAAGAAACAAAGAAATAGCATGCAAAAGAATAATCCGCAGTATTGCTCTCATCATGGCTAAGCACTTGCTCGTAACTAAAGACCCCCTTTCAGGCGAATGAATGCTTATTGTGTTCCTTGCGCTCCTATCTCCAAATTTCACACATTAACATAAATCAAATGGTGAAGAGGACTTTTATAGTGTTTTTACAGTGCCTGTAAAGGAAGGAAAATAGGAGGAAAAGAACGGCAGAGAGGTAACCAGCCTATAGGCAGCCGGTTTGCTACCCTGCGCATGGGAGGGAGATGGGGGAGATGAAAGATAGAGAGGAGAGAGGGAAGAGAGATAAACACAGCACATTCGGCAGCACCCGCGTGCACACTCATAGTCCAGTCTTGTCTTTCGCGATGTGTGACATTGCTGTTGCAGCCGCTTGTTCAAGTCGGTGTCGCGTAGGAATTTCAACAGAGCTTTTGTCGCCTTCTGTTGCAATATCAGTGCCTGTAAATGTCTATTTTGGGTATAGATGCCTGCAATAGCCTTTTTTTTCCAAATGGGCACCTATACGAACTGTTTACCCTGAGTTTCACTTGCGGGTGAAGTTTGATACCGTTATTAATGTTAGCGAGCAACATTGTTTGTTCGGAATTCGATAGTGTTCAGCCTAGTATTCTAGTTCAATCAAACCCCGGTAAACAACCGCTTGCTGCAGTGAAGTGGGACGCGCCATTCAGCATACGCAACCGCGGTTGGCGAATGCGCAACCAAGAAAAGCCGTCAAAAGAAAATACAATCGAGAGGAAAATAAGAAATAAAAATGGAATGAGCAAGATGCTTTTTTTTTTAAATTTCGCATGTTAAGGTATTCGCCGACGAGGGAAAAATTGACCCCACGTGATGCGACCCCGCCAGTAAGAGGCATCTCTCCCTTCTGGTCTTTTAGTGGGCTGGCCATCTCCTGCCGTAGCCCTCCTCGGAAAGAAAGACATCGAGGAGTTTATTGATTATACAGTGGATAATTGACACACCATGCTGCAGATTAAACGGAAACCCCAGTTACTGCGAACCACAAAAGAAAAAAAATCACAGCTATGTCAAACCGTTGGCGCCTTTGTGCCGTAAATAACAATAGCAGTTTTTTTTCTGCGTGCCGTAGAGCGAGGTAGCGCATGTCCTCGTTTTAAGTTATCCGCATTTATTTAAAAAATTATCGTGCCTATATTCACTACATTAAAGGCCTAAAACGTTGCTTTGTCGGCCTGTTTCTGGCACCTGAAAAATTCTTTATGAATGTCTCAAATTCTGGCCTCTACCCAGCCAGCGAAAGGGTCAATGGATTTTTGTTTGAGTCTGCGATCGCTCTGTTACAGAGCGCAATCTTCTTCGCAGCGCAATAGGCAAACTAGACGACATACCATTATCGGAAAAGAAATCACCTGATCGTGGCCATACGTGTCGCAGCTAGTCAGCTAAGTGACGCGGGGTTTTATGCTGTTCTTTAAACCAACCGAGCTAAGCTGTCACTTAGACACGTACTGAACTGGCACACATGTGTCTGATGCTCTATTATTCGGCCTCTTTCTCTTAAGGTCTTCGTCTCTTCACTGAGTGCAGGGTAGCAAAACAAACACGCCCCAGAATGACCTCTCTTGCTTTCCTTCCTTTTTGTTCTCCTCCTCCTACCTGAACTAGCAGCGCAGTTCTCTTCCCTAGCAATAAATTCACTGTTTTTCGTTCTAATTAATCCTTTTTCTTTCGCCCCTGCACAAGATCTGACGTCAGAAGCAGTGATAAAGCAACTTATTGTATATTACGTGTTTCTTGTACGGCACTACACCATCCTCAGCATCGCCGGAGGTACCAAGCCGGGTGTCCGCGCGAATCCTGGTCGGCGGTTACTGGGTGGTGGTGATTGTGCTCACAACGGCGTTCGCGGGCCAGATGAAGGCCATGCTGATGGTGAGACAGGAGACCAACCGCATAGACAGCCTCCGGGATCTGTCGGAGAGACCCACCATGAAGCCGTACGCACCGGCTGGCAGCGCCGTTATCTCTTCCATCAGGGTAAGAAAGCAGGCTACTAAACAAAAAAAAATGTAACCAGTTCTACTATAAGTAAATGCTGTATACGAACTGCAGAGCGTCGATTGGCCTGTGTTTCTCTTGTCTTATCTTGTGAGGGCCACTCACCAGGTTTGACAATTGTGAGCTTACAATCACGATGCGTAGATAGGGGCGTTCACAATCACATCTGCCAAAATTTGCAACGCTACGCGTCGCGGAAATGGGTCAAATTTCAAGATGAACGCTGCTCCCGCTTCTTTTCGCAGACGCGCGCCCAGAGGATGAATGAATGACGCGCCCGTATGAATGGCCCTACGTACACGGCAGTGCAGTGACGTTGGTCCTCTACGTAGACGACTGTGCTCTGACGTTGCCAACAGTGGCACGTAACATGACGAAAAATATTTAACACGGCATGCGTAGGTGATGTAACTCGTTGCTTGAAGAGATTAATACAACTTGAGATAAATAATGAGACGCAATAAGAAAATGTGTGCGTATTTTTTCCCAATTTTTTTCCCCGTGAATTGCAACGAGATGTGGGGCTGATGTGGTGAGGTTTCGCATGTGTTCGTGTTCCCGGCGGTCAGCGCATCGAGCAGACGACAGCCGAGGAAGCGAAGCGTTCGCGCACCACTGTGCTCACCTATTCTACCGCGTCTCAGCCAGCGTTTCCGAACCATTCCGTAGAAACAGACAGGAAACCACAAAATAGCACTCATAAAAAAAAAAGGCCCGAATCTACATGTTACACTGTAAATGTCGTCGAAAGACGACAGTCTTGCGACTAAAGAGAGTGAACAAAACGTTTATTTGAAGTTAGCGCAAGAAAATCGGTGAATGGTATTCTGCCTCGAGCGTGTAACGGAGGCGAACAAGCGCATCTAGGTACGTTAGGCACGAGCGCCATCTGGCAGTTATCTTCGAAAACGAAGGCGTTCGTGACCGCGGAGAAAGATGCGCGCCAGTCACGGAGGTAATAAAGGCGTAGAATGCAAAGCGACAGGCGGGTGCCACCACCGTGCCGTCGTAGCAAAGCGTTGGAAACACCTTCTTGTGCATCACGTTGCACTGTCAGCGCAGCGCGTTAAACGCTACAGTCCTTAGAGTTACTTGTGTGTGCCTCTTCTAGTATAAAGGCAGACATAAAAAAACACAGATATGTTGTTATGGCACCTCAGATATGCGCTATGTTTGCTTTTTGAATTGACAATCACACAACGATGAACGCTAAACCTTGAGCAATAGTGGTGGGCGCTGCGGATGGGGTTGGCCGTTTGGTGCCACTCGAGGTATCGTTAGGGCAGACAGTCAAATGTTTAGACAAGACAAACAGACCTAAATTTTTTCGTCGAAGGTCCCCAAGAAAGACTATAGTCTTTAAAAAAAAAGAAGAAAGCCGCTCGCGTGTTCGGGGGTTGGGCTTGTCGGGCACGTCATGCGCACGCGACCTCTTGGTCGGATGCCGGAGATGGTAGGAATGAGATTAGGCTTGCGAAGTTTACGCGAGGGAGCGGCAAGGGTTTCGAGCTCGCCTCCTCTCAGCCTCGTTTCGCGTCGTTTAACACACACACACACACACACACACACACACACACACACACACACACACACACACACACACACACACACACACACACACACACACACACACACACACACACACACACACACACACACACACACACACACACACACACACACACACACACACACACACACACACACACACACACACACACACACACACACACACACACACACACACACACACACACACACACACACACACACACACACACACACACACACACACACACACACACACACACACACACACACACACACACACACACACACACACACACACACACACACACACACACACACACACACACACACACACACACACACAGTTTGCTCAGCTCGTAATTAACCGACTGAAAAAAAATTGTGGCATAATGCTCCTCATCGGACACACAACAACTTCCATGGTCTAACTAAAATAACTAAAATTTGTGATGGGGACTGGTTAGTGACCCTTTAAAACGACAGCGTTGAAGAGCTCGTTTCGGAGAAATTCCGGTGTCTGTGTTGGCGTCAGTGTGAGCGATTAATCATCATCTCGTCCTTGTCAGAAAAATTGTAAAGATGCACATAAAACAAATAATAAAATTCGGCAGATAACCCACAATTTGGAAATCGATGTTATGCGAATGAAATAAAACTTTGTTGTAATTTTGTTGATGAGCAAAACGTTACGAAATGACGCTAAGTATATGTACAAATGCTGTGCGCGCATGCTTATGTTAAACAGTCGCATGTTTACCGCTGAGTAACGATGTCAACAGCTTTATGGGTATCAGCAACACTAGAAGGGATGAGCTCATGTGTAGCGTTTCTGTCAGCGAGGATGGCGGCCCTGGACATTGCTAGATAAATGAGCTTCAGTGGATGGCGCTTCACTACGATGCTCATCAACCCGACGTGACAGCTGCATGATGTCACAACGTATGTACTGTTTATAAGATTTGTAGCCAGCATTGCAACCACAATTGACATTTCGTGACATTAGGGTTTTCATAACGCGACACGGACTTGAACAAGCGGCTGTAACTGCAATGTCACACACCGCGAAAAACAAGACTGGACTATGACTGAGTGTGCGCGCGTGTGCTGCCGAACGTGCTGTGTTTATCTCTCTTCCCTCTCTGCTTTCTATCTTTCATCTCCCCCATCCCCCTCCCATGCGCAGGGTAGCAAACCGGCTGCCTATCGGCTGGTTAACCTCCCTGCCGTTCTTTTCTTCCTATTTTCCTTCCTTCTTTCCTTACGGTCTACTCGTCCAAGCAACCATTTTAGCTTCTTGAAAAGCAGCCGAGGACCTGGCGTGACTCTGTGGTAGAATACTTGGCGGTCACGCAGAATGCTGGGGCTCGATTCCTGCGGGTACCAAAACATTTATTCTATGCGTTTGTTGGGTCAACGCTGCCGGTGCCACCTTTTAGGGCCGACGCTCCATAGGTATAACCTAGTTGGCATTCAGCACGCCACACAAAACCCCAAAAGAAACTGAACAAATGCCCAACAACAACAACAACAACAACAACAACAACAACAACAACAACAACAACAACAACAACAACAACAACAACAACAACAACAACAACAACAACAACAACAACAACAACAACAACAACAACAACAACAACAACAACAACAACAACAACAACAACAACAACAACAACAACAACAACAACAACAACAACAACAACAACAACAACAACAACAACAACAACAACAACAACAACAACAACAACAACAACAACAACAACAACAACAACAACAACAACAACAACAACAACAACAACAACAACAACAACAACAACAACAACAACAACAACAACAACAACGACAACAACAACAAAAATACGTGTAAACAACATGCTTTATGTGTAATCAACTATACAACAGCACAATACATGATCACCTGTGCCGTCAGTTTGTCCGTCCATCCATCTGTCTGCACATTTGTCTGTCCCTCCATTCGTGCTTCCGTCCGCCAGTGCATCGTGCATACATCCACCTGTCGCTTCATCCATGCGGCCGTCCATCCATTTGTACGTCCTTTATATTAGTCAGCGACTTCAATGTAGACATCATAGACCTTAGGACCTATTGATTCGCTGATTTGTCGTCATTCACTTGGTGGAGATCCACTAATTTTTCTTAATGTTCTCGGATTGAAATTACCAACATTTGTTTGCGTCATTCTTTGGTTTATCAATCACTTCAGTGTCAATCACCTTCAGCTGTAAATCGCCTTCAGTGCATTGGGCTTTACTACACTTGATCAGAACGTGACATGACGGCTACTTTGTAGAAGTACATATGTAACGTTTATAAATTTGGATAGTGATCACTGCATCCCCAATTGACGCATCACGAACATTATGGCCTATTTGAAAAGCAGTTGTGAGACCTGGCGTGGCTCTGAGATAGAATACTTGGTTGCCACGCAGAATTCTGGGGTGCGGTAGTAACTGTTAAAGAATAAGTAAATTCTTGCTGGCACCTTTTTTCTTTCTTCACATTAGGCAGGTCAACGCAGCCAAAGTCAGCTTTTTTTAAACGCTCACTTGTCAAAGTTACCCATGTGTGTTCTCGCCGTTACTGGTGGTTAGATATGAAGTGGCAATGACCTGTGGTACAACCCGGCACACCAGTGACGAAAAAGGTTTGACGACGTTGATTGATTAATATGTGGGGTTTAACGTCCCAAAACCACCAGATGATTATGAGAGACGCCGTAGAGGAGGGCTCCGGAAATTTCGTCCTCCTGGGGTTCTTTAACGTGCGCCCAAATCTGAGCACACGGGCCTCAGCATTTTCGCCTCCATCGAAAATGCAGCCGCCGCAGCCGGGAGTGTGACGGGATTGTGGTGTTATTCATGTCATGACCAGCGAGTCGTATTCGTCCAACTATCTTACCCTGCCACACTAATTTTGCTTCACCCCAAGTTAAGGGGGGGATCACGACGAGAGCACCCAAACGTAGTCAGCTAGATAGACAGATAGACAGATAGATAGACAGATAGATAGACAGATAGATAGACAGATAGATAGACAGATAGATAGATAGATAGATAGATGATAGATAGATGATAGATAGATAGATAGATTCCAAAAGTGCTTGCAGTACGCAAATAAATGCTTTGCATTGAAAAACATTCGGTTCGAGCGAGAAGCGAACCCAAGCCACCTTTGCGGCAAGCAGGTGTTCTATCACAAAGCCACGATATTGCTTGAAAGTTATTCTAAAAAAAATACACATCATGAATGCCATATAGGGGAACGAGCCTCCTTAGCGCATATAATACTGCGTGGCAAAATCGTATAACCGCACCAGACGTCAAAATACGTTAATGGTGCACCCATTTAGAAGCACTTAGACATATTTATTCATAATCAGCTCCAAAAGCGCCAGCGATGGGAACACCTGCGTAGGTTCGCGTGTTGCTCAAGGGTGTTGCCTTCCGGACGCGTTGTGGGCCCTTCGGCAATTCGCAACGCAGCGCCGCCGTGCTTGCAAGAGGCATTCTTTAAGCGTTTGAAGCAGCCAATTTTATGCACACAGACATTCACTTCTTTGCGGCATGGATGAGGCGTGCACTGAGAACCAAAGCCAAGGGTGTCATTCAGAAGGTAAAGCACACGAGGCTCGATTGCGCTATTGCATACTGATCTTGAAGGCAGAGCTCAAGCATCCTCAAAGTTTTTGCCCACTTTTAGGAGCGAAGCTCCTTAAAGAGGCACCCCTTTGTCCCTCGATGTAGTCGTAGTGCGTAACCAGTCTTACGCTTTGATTTGCAAGGTGGCGCCGGTGGGAGATTTCTCCTGTGCGTTGTTGAACAATAAAAAATTCGCAGCGTGCGCGTTAACTAAAAGCCGAATTCCCCTGTCTCTCATTCCCCCTTAGCAGCCATTGGCATGTACATTGAGCACTATCTGAAAAGAAAGGGTTGCTAGGTTATACTCGCTAGGCGTAACCTCCTTGGTTTTAGAAAGATTTAGCGAGCGTTGGTGCGCAGTGCCACGAATACAGCGAACTAGTATATACCATAAACTCGAGGTGGTTCAAGGTGGGAAGTAGACACGAAGCGCAAGCCGTAACAAAGTGTGCTTGTGCCACCTCTCGTTTAGTTCTTGGAATGTCCGCTGGATGGCGGTGCTTCTATATGCGGAATATATGATGAAAAGATGCGAGATGGTGGTACTTAGAGTGTTGACTAGATGGACGAACTGACACACAGACAGATGCACGGACGGACGCACGGATAGCTGCATGGACGAACGCAGGGACGTACGCCCGGATGGACGTGCGGACGCACGAACAGGCGCACGCACGGACGGGTGGATGGACGCATGGACGGACGGAAGCAAGAACGAATGGACGGACGGATACTTCGCCCCACTCTCCATCATTCACCCCGTGGATATGCTGTAATTGTTTACCCCCTATTTCCTTTTATTTTTTGTGTGTATCCACTCTCCTGTGTTCTTTTCGAGTGGCTGTGCCACCTGGTTTGCGATTACCTATATATTTTCGATGGACTGCCTTTGGATGATGGAATGGAGCTCCTAACGCCATGGGCCGCATGTCCCGTTTCGTCGTAGTAGCCAGTTGGATTTCGTTGCATGTCAATAAAAGCGGTGTCACAGCATATCCGCAGAGTGAACGATGACGAGTGGGGCGAATCTTCCATCAGTCCGTCCGTGCTTCCGTGCGTCCGTCCATCCATTCGTGCTTAGCCCCACTCGTCATCATTTACCTCGTGGATGTGCAGTGAATTTTTTTATACTGCTTGCTGCTCCAAGCGCGGCGCGCCCAACTCCCGACGCGTGAGTATCGCTGTCGCCTCGAGAGTTTGCACACAGGAACGAATCCTTCAGCAACCATGTGCTTCACGAACAAGTGCACGCTGGCGTTCGAAACGTGCAGCACGCTCAAGACTGCGTGGCAGCAACGCGAGGCTTGAGACGACAACAGGGCAGCAGACTCACACTGCTGCGTCAGATTTGGGTGCACGTTAAAAAACCCCAGGTGGTCGAAATTTCCGCAGCCCTCCACTACGGCGCCTCTCATAATCACATCGTGGTTTAGGGACATTAAACTCCACATATCAATCAATCAAACTGCTGCGCAGTTAAAATTCAACCTCGCAACTCTCATAGCTGCTTCGCGCTGTACCTGAAGTTTCGGAGCTTCCTAGGTACCTGTTACAGTGAACATTGAGATAAGCTTTAAGATATTATCACTTGAAGCTTCGAGCATGATACTATCTCTCAACCTATTGACCTCTTCTATCGAGGCACCTTACGGAAGGGAAATAAAGTGCCAGATAGCGGAGCATTACGTAGTGCGTATAAATTACTAAGGTCGCACGTATAATCTTAAATTATCTTGCGCCAGGCAGCTGTTAATCAAGATCGTTGGCACAGGCCTTTGCGCTGCAGTGATGGAGCACCGGCTGATGATTATGACTAATAAGCACGCGATTCTTCATACGATGAGGCTTGATTGTATCAAACATCGTGATGGGCCCGATCAGACAACCATCGCGATCTAACCAAGGAATTGAAGGAACACAATTATAATGGTTGTAGGGGTTTTCGCCCTGAGACCATCGTATAATGATGAGGGAAGCCGTCATGGAGGGATTTGGCAATTTAGATAATCTGGCGTTCTATAACGTGCTCCTAAACATAAGTTCACATGCGTCTAGCGTTTTGCCTCAATGGAGCTGTGACAGAAGCTGCAGGGATCGAACCTGCAACCTTAGGGTAATCAGACAAGCGCCTTAACCACTTAATCACCGTGGAAGGTGATATAACGATATAACCGAGGCTTAAATTCTAACACTGCGACGTACTTGCTTAAAGCACTTTCTACACCCGAGCTTTCCCATAGTAGAGTGACTAGTACAGGGACGGCTCTAAGCTCTCCCATAGTAGAGTACCTCGTACTCTAAATCGTTACCCATACAGAAATATACTTACTGTGTGGTTACCCACTTTTTCTAAACGCACTAGGCAGAATGTTGAATACGTCTTACGCAGTCAAGCATGAACTTCTGGCGGCTTTCTGCTATAGCAAAGTACTTGGTACTCTAAATCATTAACGACTTTTTTCCAAACACACTATAGGCAGAATTTCGTGCAGCCCAAGGGACGGCTTTCAGCTCTCCCATAGTAGAGTACCGAGTACTCTAAATCGTTAACCACTTTCTCTTTTCACAGTCTCGATCTCGCAAAAGGCACGACCTCGTGCTCGTGAAATGTCAGGCTCACGCGACGACATTCTGCTCTCCCAATGTAGAGTACCAAGTACTCTAAATCACTAAACAACTTTTGTCTAAACACACATACTCTTACTCGTTCACTCCTCTTTCTAAACACGTGATCTTATACTACAACAACGTTACCCAGGCGTTCGCAGTGTACGATGGTGAAATAAATCTTCTCTAAGCAGTTATGGGCTTAACATGGCTCAACTCTTAAACATCGTTAAGATCTTGTGACGGCTGTGCGTGTACATATCTTCTGGCCCTTTCAAGCTCGATCTCACGGCCACTTACACTTAAATGCCCATCCACCTGCGGGCATGAACAACCTGGTCAAGGGAACTTTACCTCTCTCTTTCTCTCTAAAAATTAGGACTCCAGGGACCCTTACTACCAGAAGGTGTGGCAAATGATGCAGAAGTTCAAAACGGATCTTCCTCCGGCCGTCGTCCTGTCCGACAGCTCGATGCGGGAGATTATACACGGAAAGGCGGTGCTCATTCTGAGCAGACCGACGCTGGCAGCTAGGGCGAACGAGGTGTGCGCAAACTCCAGCGAGGGCGAGTTCTACGTGGGCAGGGTGCCCACCTTCAACTTCAACTCGGTCTTCTACCTCAACAAGCGCATGCCAGCCCCGCTCATGAAATTCATCAACAGGCGGTGAGCGTGTGACATTGCCGCTTCTGAAGTAGGTACGATCGCCGAGCAAACATTGATGATGACGCCGTAATGGAAGGCTTCCCATATTTCGACCTCCTGGTGTTTGTTAACGTGCGCTTAAATCTATGCACACGGGGATCTGCAGATGCAGCGGAAGCCGTTTTAGTGGCCGACGTGGGTGGGATTCGATCCCGCTACCTTCAGGTCAGCAATCAAGCACTACACTCAAACCTCATTATAACGTTGCATCTTACATGAAAATAAGTTCGTTCTGTTCGAGAAATCGTTATAAAAGTATATTACTAAAACTATCTTTTGGAAGACTTTTTTTTGGCTGACTTCATTATAACTAACATTTTGTTATACCCGTGTTCATCGAATGGATGTTTGAGTGTATAATATTTACGACCGCAGCCGATCACACAAATATTGACTCCATCACTATGGGTGCTATACGAGACATTCTAGTAGTCCTGGTTTACCGTATGGCCGTAAATAGACCTATTTTTGGTCTGCACTATCTTCAAAGCCCACTATGATCATATAATTTCCTTATACCGCACACAATGAGCTACTCGCGCAGCTAGAACGCTCAAAAAAACTACATGCCAACCACACTTCTGTGGTATTACCGTACTTAAAGTATTGTAAACCGGCACTGTTACGACACTGTTACTCTGGTGTAAGGTCATGCTTATGAAAGAAGCTTGCGTGCCCGATAGCCAGGAATAACTTAAATGTTACAATAGAAACTCTAAACCTATAATAAAATATTAGAATTTTTTCGAGACGTAAAGATTATAGATTTTATGTGTCACAAACATGAGGTGACCACGAAGCAAGCTGTAGAGGCGAACTTAAGAATATTTTCAGCCTAGGATTGATTTACCGTGCTACTTATTCGAAGAGTGCAAGGGTTATTGTGTTTAATTCCCAGACGTAATGCAGCTGCCGTGATCTGGAATCAAACCCGCGTCATACTCAGCAGTGCCACACCTTCGCATTTAAGTTGGTTTTTTGGATTCTGCCAAATACAGGGATCTCTATATCTCTGTTTATCATTCTCATATCGTTCACTCGCGAAAAAAAAAAAACAAGACGGTGGCTGTCTTGAGTAACTTGCGCAATATAGCTCTGAGCAGAGAGCAAATGTAACCAAACGACATAGCTTTAAACTAGCTTAGTTTTCAGCGTATACTGGATAAGCTCACACGACCCCTCATGCATTTGCCCAAGACGTCTGGAAGGTCAAAGTCTTCGCTGTTTAGAAGAATTTGTTGCTGGGCTAGTTCGTACATATCATCTGAAAGAAAATTATCCTAGCCCAAAGCAACACACGGACATACAAAATCGCAGGACTGGTGCTCTTGCAACCGTGAAGTCCCATGCTATTTGTCTGTCCCTGGGTTGCTTCGAGCTAGAATAATTTTCTTTCGAGTGATATGTACCAACTAGCCCACGAACACGTTTTGCTTGGTGCATAAGTTTGAAGAAAGTTAAAACGTCGAAGCACCAACAGAAGAAATACGAAGCACCCGAAAAACATCAAAAACATCTCTTTGAAACTAACGTGGTCTTGCTCTACCTCCGAGATCACAGGCGTTGCATGCTTTCTCCAACTAGCCTGGTATTGTACTGCCTCCGAGATCCGCCCGCCTTTGGCTAAGTGCCTGTGTGAAGCGACGACGTCATCGTGTGATGATACAGTGCCATCATAGCGACGTCACAACTTTTTGTGATCTGTGACGTTATCACGTGGTTGTTTGCATCACTAGCGTTGACGCCACCGACGCCGACGGTCAATTCTGGCGTTAAGAAGCGTCTAAAGCTTTCCCCTTATGTGTACATCCTGTCCTGCTTAATTGAGGGAGAGCAAAGTCACTGTTTCATTCGATGTAACCGTTCCCCTTTGCCCCTTCCGCGGTGCAGAATAGCCTGCCAGGCCCAGCCCTGGTCAATCTTCCTGCCTTTGTTTCATACCCTTCTGCTTTCTCGCTCTGCCTGACAGAATCTTGTGGCTTCGTGACTCCGGCCTGGTGGAAAAGTGGTGGAGGGAGTCCTCGGGAAACTGGGAGGGCTGTGGACAGGCGACCAGCGACGGCACGCTCACGTTCGCAGACTTCAGCGACCTCATCAAGCTGCTGATGGCCATGCTCGCTTGCGCCTTCGCCGTATGCCTCCTCGAGATGGCAGCAGGGCGCGGTCTCCGCTGCACACCGCGGCTTCGCCGGTGGAAAACTGAAATCTAGATACGCGTCTCTGTCGTACAGATGCGTCGTGCTGTATTTCGGATTAGAAACGTTCTTGAAGCTACTGCGCATGCGCTTAATCTAATGCAACTTGTTTTTACGTGCTCACGCACATTGCTGTAGGTCTGTATTGTTAGTCTACCATGCCACGTCATGATGCTTTGTAGAATGATCCTCTAAATGATGTAGACGCGCGAGAAGGAAAATGAGAAAGTAATTTGATTGATTGATATGTGGGGTTTAACGTCCCAAAACCACTATATGATTATGAGAGACGCCGTAGTGGAGGGCTCCGGAAATTTAGACCACTTGGGGTTCTTTAACGTGCACCCAAATCTGAGCACACTGACCTACAACATTTCCGCCTCCATCGGAAATGCAGCCGCCGCAGCCGGGATTCGAACCCGCGCCCTGCGGGTCAGCAGCCGAGTACCTTAGCCACTAGACCACCGTGGCGGGGCAGAAGGTAATTTCGAGACAACTATACATGTTAACGAAGTGAGAACATTTATTTTAAAAAAAACACAGTTTTGTGCGTAAATTTTACATGATCTCTATTATTATTTTTAAGTTCGTGACGCAGATGACTATGCAAGAGAAGAGGTGCAGCTGCATACCTGTGTAGGCACCCACCTCTCCTCAAGTACATCGAATAAAAAAAAAAAGAAAAGAAATTTGGTTGGGAAAACGCAAATACGAAAACACCCACGCGTAATTGATTGATATGTGGGGTTTAGCGTCCCAAAATCACCATATGATTTTGAGAGACGCCGTAGTGGAGGGCTCCGGAAGTTTCTACCAGCTGGGGTTCTTTAACGTGCACCCAGATATGAGCACACGGGCCTACAGCATTTCCGCCTCCATCGGAAATGCAGCCGCCGAAGCCGGGATTCGATTCCGCGACCTGCGGGTCAGCAGCCGAGTGTACCTTAGCCCCTAGACCACCGCCGCGGGGCAACACCCACGCGTAAGCGAGCACACACACATACGGGGAGGTTGGGAGTTTGAAAGAGAAATTGTCCCGCACTGACGTAAACTAAAATTTTGCGGAGCTATTTTGCGGAGCTACTTCGACGCTATCGTCAACCAAGATTTTGCACGAAAGTACAAATAAGTGTAACCTCACCTAGTAAGCATCAGTAATAGAGCAACGCGCGTGATATTGAGCATGCGTTTGACAAAACCATCAGTGTATTCTTCTTTAGAATGATGTACACATGACGCTCGTAGCAGTTTTGTCTATGCATGGAAACACATATTTTACTTCGCGTGATTTCAACAATAACATGAGATATCAGCCCACCTCGAATGAGGCTTTTTTTTTCTTAGCAAGTACTAGGATTGGCAGTTTTTTATGTAGTTATTTTAGGATTCACAAAATCATTATCGTTTGCTGGATCAGGAGAAGCTTATGCAGCAACGCTGAGCTATTAAGCGATGATAAAACGTTTGGGAGGTTGTTAATGTCAATAAAACTGATCTCAACTATAGAAATTATTAGCCTCGTTCCAAAAGGCTAATAACTTTACACTCACAGCTTAGGATTCGTCGACGTAATCATACTCCTCAATCGAAACTCATTAAAACTATCTCTTTGCGAAACAAACAAACGGACAAACAAGCAAGCAAAAAATCACATTTCAGCGTCCGAAATTCCCGCTGTAATAGTAATAGCAATTCTTACTATAACTGCTCCATATCGCGTATACTGCGTCTGCACGAAATAGATTAATCACCGGAAACACAGCGACCAGATACACCTGGACCAATGGATGTTATTTTCAATTGCATCGCGTCCTGAGATTATGATGCAGCGCCTTAATCCGATTAAGGCGCTGCTTACAATAAAGGCCGAAAAATATGGCTATTGGTCTTTATGTGTGGTTTATTTGCCCCATTCCATTCCTACGCCTCTCCTTATCACAAGCCGCAACGAATCTTGTCAAGCTATCACCGCTGTTTTCGAGCAGGAGCGGATTGAAAAGAAACGGGGACGGGGATTAAGGAAGCTTGCGAAATGAGTGCGTCCTCCACTCCTCACGTACGACTCATCTCACAAAGGATAAAGTCAGGCGGAAGAGTTTTCCGAGATTCAAATCTGCTTATAACGTTTCCGCAGCTGAAAGGGACAGCGAGCTCTTGCACGCACGCGCCGTTGAATTATTCATTTCAAATTATTATCGCCCCTGTCACCTTGTTCGCTTTGCTTTTCCGACTGTAAAAATGCCACCAGGGTGTCTTTCGAAAATACCAAAAAAAGTTGTTTCCAAGAAGAAAAAAAAAAGAGAGTGAGAAACCACAAGATAGAGAGAGAAACAGGAAGAAATAAAGGAAGAACTGGCAATCGTTATTTTAAAAACAAAAGCAAGAACGCGTGTAATGTTATTCCAGGTACTTGCTCGACGGTAAGTCTATATAGTTTCTCGTAGAGGTACCTAATCAACATAAGTCAGAATAAGCAATCGCAAGTGCTAAATGGAAAGGTTAATTAGCAGTCAGGGGTTGAAACTCCGAGAAAGCAGACTACGCAGTCCAGAAGAGCGTGAGAACTTTGCTATTGTTATTGCGTACGTAAGCTACAGACTGTCAGCAATGAATACAAGACCACGCAAAAAAATAAGATTATTTACGTGTGTGTTCGGTATGCGGGGTGGAATAATGTCGAGTTTACTGCCAGTACAGCTACGTGGAAGATAACTATGTTTCAGAAGCAAGAAACAATGCTCAAAGTGTTACTTACACGAGGCAACGCCACTATCTTCTGGTATTGATTTTTACGTTCCCTATTTCCGCGGTCAAAGTAATGGAATTGTTCGAGAGCTCGTTTACTATTTCTCTCTCGGCTTCGAGCCTGAAAGCCCCATTTCAAAAGAATACTACTTCCTGTCTTTATCTAATTGGGTCTTGTTTCTATATTTACTTTTCCTGCCATGAAATCTGCAGTATGCTTGTGTAATTTCGTCCTGTTGTTGGACGCGTCCTTAAAAGCGGGGTTCGTCGTTCTTTCGCCCCCGTATAAGCGGCCTTTTGACCCGAACAAATGAGCACCCCATGCGGAAACACGCCAAGGCCCCAAGACAAAGACAAAGTCGAGATAATAGTCTACAGCCACATGTCCGCGGTTTCCTGGCAGCGCTGCTAGAAGACATCAGAACGCAGCAGCATCCGTCACTCGGTAGATGATGCCGCGCTGCCCGGCCGTTGCTGTGCATGAGCAGACGCAACGGCAGTCAAGCTTCAGCACTCAAGGGATATGGACCTGACGCGCGTAGCGTCGTCGGTGGACGACCCGAAGACGAGGTGTTGTTGCCCTCTTGTTTCGTCGCTGCAGAAGCGGGTCGTTGCCCGGCATGCACCCGCGGTGCGTTGCAGCGTATATAATGCGGCGAAGGAGGGGACAACCGGAATACGTTACCTCACGTATCCGCCGCCCAGGTGCGTTCCTTTTCCTGGTCGGTCTCTCGCTTACGTCTCCATTTCGTCGTTTCGCGATGAGATCTCTCTCTCGTTCCCGGTTTGTGAACTTGATTTTTTCTCGCACCCTTGCCTTTGCCGCTGCTTGTCTCACGTATTCACTTCTTTTCGTTCTCGACTTCCTCGTCTCCATTTATGGGAGTCCGTGACGTCGTTCGAACGTACGCTCTAGATCAGCTGGAAGCCGGCCATCTGGGGGATCTCAAGTCGTTGCGTAACTGATGCGCAATCGGAGCACGCGCTACGACGCACGCTGTCGGAAGGATGGGCTCGCTGCGAACGTATCCTTAGACCACACATTGTTAAAGGGACATCAATGAACATAACGATTTTTCCGCGTACTAGTTAAGTGCAATATCACCATCCTTTCCTTTTCGTTCTTTCCCGAACGTTCGGCTATGGCTGAAGTCGTGCGCTGTCCGAAGAAAACTACTCATCGAGAGCGTCAATGGTAATCGCTGCGGGAACGACCATATCTGATTCACAATCATGATCACGATAGACCTCGGTGGGGCCCTCAGTGGTGCCTCAGACATTTGCGGCAATAATTAGACATATTCATCAGATAAATTTTTAGAAAACAAACAGTGTGATGACGTCATATTATGACGCGTTACTTTAAAGCAAAAATAAATAAATACGACCACTTCGTACTATTAAAATACCGACGCAGCAACGAATAAAAAGACAGGAACGCTGCATTATTGTCGTACATTCGATACAATGAAGTAGGCATTTTATATTCCTTCCTAGAAATGCTTTTGTCCTAAGGGAACTCATCATGTAGTAAGTATTCGAGCTTCAGCTTTCAGAACCACAATATTATGAGCGACGCCGTCGTATATTGGTCAATGTAGGGATGAAAAAAAAACTTTATGGCGGTCCCGTAAGGTGTGCGTTAGCACGCAGACAGCCGCTCCTACATCAAGACAGAAAGGCCGCGCCTCTCCACCACGTTGTGGACCACCAATTCGCAACGTTAGGCATATCAACTAAGGGGCCCAACGAATTGCGAGAATCGTAATGCTGCGAACGAAATCACCCCGGTTTTGTTCGCAACTTTGAAAGACTTTTACACAGCTCGCCCTAACGCCGTGCGGTCTCGTTCTCAAGTGCTGCGGTTGGGCTGGAGTGCATAGGAGTGCCTTATCGACAAGCCACAGTGATGCAACAGCCACTTCACTATCGCCCGTGCTGCTCTCGTGCCTCTGCAGCAAGTAATGCCCGTATGTACGTGGCTTTACAGCCACCCGGATATCGTGGCCGTCGACAGTGACCTATACACTGTCCCACGCTTTGGCACAGATAACGCAGCAGTGCAGGGTTGGCTGCTTCGCTACAATGTGTCTGCTGCTGTAAAAAAATAGAAAAAACTGTCACAGCATATCCACGGAGTGAATGATGATGAGTGGGGTGAAGCGTTCCAGCGTTTGTCCATGCGTGCATCCATCCATCCGTACATCTGTCCGTCTGTCCGTCCGCCCATCCGTGCATCATTTGTCCGTCACTGCGACCATTCATGCTTC